TTTGTAAATGAACAAGGTGATTTTTTATAAATTTATTCTGACCTAGTTTCCTTGAATGGTATATCATAGATTCAGGTTCATTTGGGTTAAATGTGCTAATAGGATATAGTTTTTAAATTTTGCTGTTGAGTCATCTATACCTTTTAATACTTTAAATGTACCATGTGTATGACCCTTATAAAGATGTTTGCTGTAATACTGTTAAAGAGACTTTGCCTATGGATATTGCTCTCCCAGTGTATGACACTTCTGCAATTAAACTCCAGTGTGTTATTCATTTCAGTAAAAAAATAAAAATAAAAAGAAATAGAAAAATGGGGGAGGCATCTATATTTCTAGTAAAAGAAAAAAATTCAGCATGGTGATAAGACTTGAGAGTTGTCTAGCTACAGAAATAACAAATTGTTGCATGGTATCTAAAATTTATTTGAGATATTTAAAAATTTGCAATAAAATTCACTTCTTAAGTACAAATTAATGTATTTTAACAAGATTAGAATATAAATTTCAGAATACAGCAAGAAACAAATATCTTTCAGTCACAAAAAGTCCAGGACATGTATATAATGCTTAACATAATCTAATACAGAGTCCAACTCAATATGGTCTGTTTTAGGCAAGAAAACCACTTCTTAAAAATACTAATAAGCACCTCCATCTAATTATTTACTGGGTAACACATTTGTACATGTATTTTTTACACATATGTTTACAGTATTTTTTTTGGTGGTACTGCAAATTGAACCTAGTCTTTTACAATGAACTACATCCCTATCCCTTTAAAAAAATTTTTTAAATTTTGCAATAGGGTTTCTCTAAGTCACTAAATTACCCAAACTAAGTTTGAGCCTGCAATCCTCTCAGAGTGCTGGGATCACACACACCCAGTGGCATTTTGTTGTTGTTGTTGTTTTGGTACTGGGGATCAAACTAGGGTCCTTGTGCTTGCACAGCAGGTGGCGAAACCACTGAGCTAAATTCCAGGCCCTCCCAGTGGCATTGTTCATTTCAGTATGAAGTTCTGTGTTAAAACAAATACATTTTAAACTTTTTCTAGGTGTTTAGTTCCTTTTAAAAAACTTTACACATCTTTATGGGATATATTATGGCAACTCAATCTGTGAATACAATGTTTATTAATCAAATCAGGGTAACAAGCATTTCCGTATCTTCAACCACCAATCGCTTTTACGTTTGGGAACTTTGTACTCTACTGTGCTAAAGAAGAACCAGGAACAACAACTTCACTCTGTGATTCTAGTACCCCTACTGAAATTCTTCTGTCTGCTACCATCTCACCTTTCTCAGTCTTGACTGACCAATATTCCATTTCATTCTTCTTCAAGGGCGGCTTATCAGTTTTCACAAATGAGTGAGAATATGTGATATTTGTCTGTGTCTGGCTTGGTTCACTTACTATTATCTTCAGTTCCACTTATATTGTTACAAATTTCAGACTTCCATTATTTTATTTATTTTTTATTTAAAAGTATTTTTTTCCGGTACCAGGAATCCATTATTTTAAATTTTCCTAGGTTTGAAATATCAACTGCCTCATTATCATATTACAGGTATCTCATTTTGGATCACTTGATATCACTCACTTGCAAAGAACATAATCAATGATCATATAGTACTATATCCCTTGGATACTACGAAATTTCAACTGTCAGGTCCAATACTTGTTCTACTACAAAGGATATCACATGCTTTCTACTGATGCCATCTCCTATAACAATCAGCCAAGTACTACTGAGTGCTAAGAAACAGTTTTGTTCCAATTTTTCATCCAGTTTAAACTGTGCTGAGTTCAGTTACCTGTCACTATCTCAACCACTGACGCACTGTTTTCCTTTGCTTTGCATCAGACTATCTTCTGGAACTAAACCCCATATTAAATCAACCTGTTTTCTTCCTGTCACAAGTTGTTCTGTCAAGCTCTTTCTATTCCTTTTAATTTTACACCTCCTTTTAAATTTATTTCCTCAAGAAATACTCTTTGTTTTTCACAATAATCCTCTTATAGCTATGACTCCTCACATCACTGTAGATGTCACCTTATGTCATTTTCATTTAAGCATTCACTGTAAGACATGAAACCTGTTAAATGCATCAGAAATTAGGTATCCAAGTAAATAGTGTTTTCTCTCAAAAAGTTATATTGGAAGCTATTCACTTATTCTAAAAATGTTATGAATGTTCAAAGTATGTACGGAATTCTTTGAAATATAACAGTGCCATATCTTTGACCCTACCTATGAAAATCAATTCTATCACTTAATAGTATTTGGTCAAGGGGCACTGCCCATCTAAAACACCTAATAATCAGATACAATTTGCTATTACCAAAAGCTAGATTTACCTATAAAAGATTAAACACTGCCCTAACTGGTAATATTAAAAATATTTTTAAAGCCAGGTGTGGTGGTGCATGCCTGTAATCCCTTCACTCAGGAGGCTAAGGCAAGGAGGATTGTTGCAAGTTTGAGGCCAGCCGCAGCTACACAGTGAGCTCAAGGCCAGCCTGAACTACAAGTGGAACTCTATATCAAAAAATATATTTTAAAAAATAACCTCTGAAGGCAATCACAAAAGCCTAAAACAAATACTG